GCCGGGCGGGGGGCGGGGGAACCCCCTGAGGCGGCCCGGGGCCCTCCCCGCCCGAGGCAGGAAAGCAAAGCCACCCCCTTTGGGAAGGAAGCTCTTTGCTCTCTTGACTCTGAAAATACTATACGTTTGAGGGGAGGGGAAGCAGGAATGCCCTTTTCTGCATTTGTTTGTCTGTCTGTTTCCTTCCACGTTTAAATTCATACTTTCTGGCATCGAACACAGAGTCTGTGACGGGGAGGCAGAGCCCCCTGGAGCGTCCTCTGCTCCTCCCTCACAGTCAGGGGCCAGGGACCTTCACTTTCAAGGGCAGGAAGGGGAGGGGGGGCCCTGCCCAGCGGCCAGCAGGGTGGTCTCTCCAGGGAGGGCCCAGGGCAGCGGGAGAGAAGGGAAGGAGCTGCTCAGAGGGACCGAGGGAGCGGAGGCCCTCAAGGCAGCCTTGGGGAGAGATGCTCGGGCCCACCCCCACCCCGGCCTGCCTGGTCACAGAGACGGTGGACCTGAGTGGGTGTGTGGGGGTGAGAACTGGAGGTATGGCCGCCTACCAGGCCCTTCCCAGGGACTGCCCGCCCAGCCCTGTGGGCCCGTGGGCAGCGATGGCCGCGGCTGGGGTCAGGGGCGTGGACGCCTCCCCCAACCTCAGGGGCGTACCCATCATTTCGGAGACCCTCCCTGTGTGTGTCTCTGCCCACCCCGCCCCGCCCGCCTCCCTCCCACCAGTCACTTCCCTCTTGGGAACGTCAAAGTGCAAAATGCAGAAACCTGGGCCCACAGCAGCCTGGAGACCGGCTCCGGGCGGCGGCCCAGGCGTCCTCCCGCCCCGTCCACCCCGGGGAGTCAGAGGCCAGATCCTCGGAAGGTCAGGGCTCAGGGGCTCTCTCGGTTGGCGGGACGGGTGAGGCCGGCTCGGGCAGTCAGTGCAGAAGCTGGGAGGCGGAGGGCAGAGGGCAGACAGAGGAGTGTCGGCCAGGCAGGCGGGGCAGGCGGGGCGGGCAGTACAGCAGGCGGGTCCGGTCTTCACAGTGCAATGGCTTCCTTCGAGAGGGGCGCCCCGTGCGGCCCCCGGGGCGGCTCCCAGGTTCTGGGGGGCCGGGGCGGGTGGCGCAGCCAGCCTCGGCTTCACCTTGTCATCAAGAGCCCAGCAGGTCCCGAGGGCAGGGCTGGCCTTGCCTCTGCTCCTGGCACTGGCATAACCATATTTCCAGGAAACCAGCAGAGACGCCGTCCCGCCCTGCCAATCTCCACATCTCTCTGCGACGTGTGCCTGCTCGTCGTCGGGGCGGGCATCCATCCCTCACCGCCAGACAGGTCCTCTGGGCGCCAGGGTTCCTCTGTGCCTCCGCGCCCTCCCCGCTGTCCACGTCCGCGGGCCGCTGGGTCCCGGCCCAGGCGTTGGCTGGAGGGGGCGGGAGGCAGGCACAGCCCCGGGGGCAGAGGGGACTCCTCGGGGCTCGCCAGCCCCCCTCAAGCGGATGGGGGCCTCCAGGGCCCACGATAAATATCAGCAGCATGAGGCAGACCCCGGCCCGCTCCGAGTCCGTCCAGAGTCTGGGGGTCGAGGGTGGAGGGGCCAGCCCAGCCGCTCCGCTCGGGTCCTGGCCGACAGGAGCTCTCGGGTGGGCAGGTCACATTCCCAGGAGGATGGCGGGTGGACGCCCCGTAGCACCTCCTGCTGTGGAGAGACTGTCCTGTGCGCCCAGCTGTGGGAGAGAGAGAGAGAGAGAGGGAAGGAGGGAGAGGAGAGAGAGAGAGAGAGAGAGAGAGAGAGAGAGAGAGGCCCATCAGTGAGGGGGAGCGAGGGAGGGGTCGCCGGGGACACGCGTGGGGGCGCCTGGCGTTCCTGTGGGCTGGGAGGACTTCCTCCCGCCCCCGCCCCGCTTCCCGGCCACCCTGACGCCGCAAGGGCCAGGCCGCTGTCCCTGGCAGGGGGCCAAGCCGCGGGCCAGACTGCCCTCACCTCCTGCCTCTCCTGGGCAGCACGGGCCACCGCGGGAGGGGCCGGGCCTGGCGGGGGTCTGAGCAGGGGAGCGGGGCATTGCCAAGCTGGCCTTTGGGTCTGAGGGAAGGAAGGGGGCATTCGACTGCCCTTGGAACCCTCCAATGAGCCAAGGCTGAGCCCTGCTAACTCCAGCGAAGCGCATGCCTGTGCCCGCCTCCAGGCCTGCATCACGGAGGGGGCAGGCCCCGCACTGGGGACAGCAGGGCAGAGGGCACTGCAGAGGAGGAGCTAGAGGGGGTCCCAGGAGAAGGCGCTCCCTCCCTATCGCACGCTCACCCTCAGCAGCCTCCTTCCGGATGGGCCTCCCTGCATCTTGATGTGATGGAGGGCCCGGCTCTCCCCCCACCCGCCCCTGGCCTGTCCCCTGGCCCCGCATCCTCAGAACGCTTTGTTCTCAGACCAGAAATCCCCTGGGCTCCGGCCAGCAGCTTGCCTTTGGACCCTGCGTGGAGCCCTCCTCCCAGGCCATCACGGGCCCTGCCGGCCCAGGCTGTGACGGGCTGGGCGGGGGATGGGACTGGCGCTCTGGCTCCCGGCCCGTTCCCAGGCTCTGGAGGGCTGGGCTGGACACGAGGCACAGCTGGGCGCAGGGAAGGAGGACCCAGTGGGCGAGCTCCCACAGGGAGGGGAGTGGGAGGGTTTTCTCCGGGGGCTCCTCACCCGCCTCTCCTGGCACAGTGGCCATCAGGCTGGCGCTGGCCATGCCTCTCCCTGAGACTCCGAGTGCCAGGGCCGAAGACCACCCAGCCAGTGTCCTTCTGACCCACGCTCCGTGCCCACCAGGCAGCCTCGGGGCCCAGATGTGTTACTTGTGCTCTTTCCTGGCAGAACTTTCATCAGATCCCATCTCCTAGGTGTGGCCAGGCCTGGCGCCCTACACCTGGGAAGGCCCTGAGGCGCTGGCTCGCATGAGGCCTGGGGTCAAACCTGATAGGTCGCCCCAACTCGTTCGCCAGCCAGTCAGTTAGCCCAGTGGTCGGCAAACTCATTAGTCCACAGAGCCAAATGTCAACAGTACAATGACTGAAATTGCTTTTGAGGGCCACATTTTTTAAACTTAAACTTCTTCTAAACGCCACTTCTTCCACATAGACTCGCCCAGGCCGTGGTATTTTGTGGAAGAGCCACCCTCAAGGGGCCAAAGAGCCGCAAGTGGCTCGTGAGCTGCAGATGGCCGACCACTGAGTTAGCCCATCAGCTCCCCAATCAACAAGTAACCAACTAGGCAGTTACCAGCTGGTCAGTCAGAGTCACTTCGTTAGCTGGCTAACGGGTTAGTCGGAAGGCTGGTTAACTAGACACAGCTGGCCATGGGTGGATCTGCCAGCCCTGAAGGCCGTCGGTCCGTGTTTATTGAGTGCTTGGCCACGTGCGGAGAAGCCCTCTTTGTATCGGAACCCGGGGCAGAAAGAGAGATGCCAAAAAAAATGGAAGACACAGTCCCTGCCCGCAAGGGGCTTACAGCCTGAGTCGGGGTGTGGGATGTACACATACACATAGAACAAGGATTGAAATGTATAAAAACAACATCCGAGTAATTGTAAATCAATACAGTAAAACCAAATACAGGAGGGCAGAGGGGTGTGACCGACAGGAGGGACCAGAGGAAGCATCAGGAAGGAAGACTTCCTATGGCTGATGGTGGGCGGAGGGGAGGGAAGGGAGGAGGACGGGGCCGCCTGGCCCGAGAGCCAAGGGCAAGGAGTCTCGAGGGTCACATCTTTATCCACGTGGGCCAGGGTGCCAGAAGGCCGGTCAGTGTGGGGGAGACACACTTGGGAGGGCCAGGGAGACGGGACTGGGAGGGGGACCACGTCAGGGGCTCGGTAACGGGCAGACACCCACAGGGCAGTTTTCACAAGGACGAGTATAAACTAATCTTTGGTTAAAACAATGAATCTGTCCAAGTGGAGGACAGAGGTCTTATGGGAAAGGGAACTAGGACTTTTCATAGACCACAAGCTAAATACGAGACAACAATATGATGCAGTTGTTTAAAAAAACTAATGCAAACTTAATCTGTGCGCATAGCAGAACACTACTGTCCAGGCCAAGGCAGGAACTGTCCATGCGCTCTGAGCTGGTCAGACACGTCTGGAGCACCGTGTCCAGGCCGGGCCACACTGGCAGGGGACAGTGACAAACGAGTGTGTCCAGAGGAGGGCGACCAGGACGGTGAGGGGTCTGAAAACCACATCATATAAGGAGTGTTTGAGGGGCGTGGCCGCACGGAGCTGCGGGGAGTCTAAAGGGGACGTGGCTGGCTTTAGGCATTCGAGGGCTGTCCTGGCAGAGGGAGGGTCATCCGGGACGGGAGGTGGCGGAGAAGCCGTAAGACCTCACCCGAGGAAGGGCTTCCTCGCGGGCCTCTGGGTGCTGGCGGGGAGCTGGCCGGGCTCTCCCAGGTCGTGATCGGAGCTGGGAGGCAGAGGGGAGGCCCCTCGGGGTGGGACGCTCGGCCTTAGTGACCTCGGAGAGCCTTCCACACCGAGGCTCTGTGGCTCCGTGAACTGGAAGCAGGGAGGGGCCCCCTGGGCTGGGGAGAAGGCTCAGGCCGGGGAGGCACTCAGAGCGGCAGCTGCCGGGGGAGTCTGGGGGCCCAGGGGAGAGGGTGGTCTGAAGTGAAACCCTGAGCCTCTCCAGGAGGGTGAAGAGCTGGCAGGAAGCTCTGGGGCTCTGGTGTGGGTGGTGGCAGTGAGAGCAGAAGCTCAGGGCAGAAATAAGAAGCCAACGCATAGTTGGGAGGGCGGGGGGCATATGTAACACTTCCAACAAAGAAGAATTATTGAACAAAGAAGCAGCAGTGGCCAATGCGGAGGGGGTGGGGGGCCTGAGCGCCGGAAGGAGGGGTGGCCGCCCCGGTGATGGGCGGGAAGAGGAAGGAGGGGCGCGGGCCGGGTGTGTGGGTCTCAGGGATCCCCGTGTCAGGGTGAGGGGAAAGGACGGAGCTAATGTTAAGGGGTGCAGAGGGATCCAGAACCAGAGGCTTACCTTAGCCTTCCCTCTACACCGGCGTCTCCACCCGTCTGTCCTCAGGCTGGGCCAGGGGGCTGCGGGCGGAGCACAGGGCTGACGTCAGACTCCAGTGAATCCGGGGAGCGAGGAAACCCCCGAAGTGGCCCCCCTGCCCCCCCACACACACAGGTGCTCTAAGCCTCACAGGTGCAGGAGACCCAGACTGGCCTCACCCTGTGACGAAACCAGGAGAAATCCTAGGCCCTTCCTCCTCTCCTCCCCATCCTGTTCCAAGCTCCTCTGCCTCAGAGCACGTGGGAGGAAGTCCCCCCAAATATAGAGGAGAAACAGGTGCCAAGACGCCCCCACCCCACCCCTCCCCCGCTGCCTACAGAGCCACCCCAGCCCAGACTCTCACCTGCCCTCTGGCTGCTCCCAGGAAGAATCCATGATCCATAGCTCTCGGTGGCTCTGGGGACAGAAAAGGGCACTCCCTGAGCAGCTGGGGGGCTGTGGGACAGGGTCCCATCCCCAGGCAGGGCTCCCCCAGAGACTGAGATGTGGGGACCAGCCACAGGGCCAGGGGAGCTCCCTGAGGCCTCTGTGCCCATGACCCCCGTTTCCGCCCTGCAAGGCTGTCTCCTCTGCCCCGGCCCCAGGCCCTGCCCTGGTCTACACGGCGTTCCCCCAGGTGCTGCTGGTCCAGGGATACCCTCTCCGGCTCCCTGCTGCCCCCGCCCTTCCGCTGACCTGACACCCTGAGCTCCCCACCCCCCCATCTTGGAGAAACCCTCCTCTGTGCTCAGCCAGCCTCCTGGTGCGAGCATCTGAAGGACCCAGGCGGCCCCCCGGCCCGCCTGCCCGCACCTGCTCCTCCACCCGCTGCGCCCGGTCCCCGGGAGGCGCCCGTCCTGGCCCCGGCTCCTTACCCGCCGCCGCCGCCTGTGGAGCAGCAGCCCGCCCACGGCCAGCAGGACCAGGACTAGCACGACGACGACGCCGCCGCCGGACAGCAGCAGGGGGCGGAGGACGGGCTCGCCGGCCCGGGGGGTGGAGGACGGCTCGTCTGTCAAAGGAACGGGGTTAAGATGGGCATGGGGTGCGGCCGCCCCCTCACGTGGTGCTCCTTCCAGCCCCGCGGTGCTCCTCCGCGCCCGGGTGCTCCTCCGGCCCGGCGGCCCCCCGACGGGCAGCACGCTGTCCCGGGCGTGGCTGCGGGGAAGCCGGGCCCCCGCGGAGAGGGTGGAGGGCCGGCTGAGGCCTCTCGGGCGCAGGAGCAGGGGCCTGGCCGAGCCTGGCTCCCTTGTGTCTCTAGGCGTCCTGGGTGGACGGTCTGTCTTCTCGGCTGTGCGACTCCGGGCCTGGCTGGTGGGCCTCCCCGGGCCCACCCTGGGCCGGGCGGCGCCAGTTACGCCCGCTGGCAGCTGGCTCTTGGCTGGTCCGCGGAGTAGAGACGCTGAGATGAGGTTGCTGTGTCGGACGGCCTCGGCCTGCACGCTGCCTCCTCCCCGCCCGGAGGGGGCGGGCTCTGGGCCTCGGGGTGCAGGGCCCTCACTAGCTTCTCCAGAGGCCTCTTCCAGGGCCCAGTTAGCGCCCAGCACGGAGTTGAGAATGTCCTCTGTCCCAGAGACGGCGGCTCCAGGGGGCTCAGGGGAACCTCCGACGGGGCCTCCCTCGGCGCCTGGGGTCCCCGGTGACTCAAAGGTCTGGCATGTGCTCCGGGGCGGTCGCTGCTTGGCGCTGCCCGGGTCCTCTGTGCGGGCGGGCTGCTCACTGGGCAAGAGAGAGCTGTCCTCGGTCCCCTCCGAGCCAGCCCAGGGCAAGGCAGCCAGAGGGGCCGTGGCGGGGGCAAGGGGCTGCTGAGGGGAGGCAGAGGCCGGGTCACTGCTAGGGGTGGCTTTGGGGTACAGGCAGTTGCAATCAGGCGTGGTCACCACATCTGAAAGAACCACAGAGGGGGAGAGAAAGACGGGGGAGCTAGAGTCACCAGCCTCCAGCACAGCGTTCCCGGGGGGGACGGGAGAGGGACCCCTCACCCGCTAACGCAGCCCTGGGGCCGAGGGCACGACAGGACGGACACAAGCAGGGAAGGTGCAAACCGCAAGGTCTTGTGGGAGAGAACAAAGCAGGATTGAGAGACGCAGCCTGCGGGTCGGGGAAGACCAGAGCACAGCTCTTCCTGGGGTTCCAGGTGGCCAGACGCCAAGCCAGGGGTGAGCAGAGGCCTCAAGGGCTAACACAAGCCCCCCCTCCCCCTCCCACCAAGCCCCACTGCACCGGCCGAAAGCAGCAGGGTGGTGCCATGCACAGCAGGGGCCACAGCCACAGGCGGGAATGGCTGGGGCTGGACAGTGGCCAAGGCTTGAGGCCTTGGCATTGAAACAAGGAGACTGGACTTGGCCACCGGCGGGCGCCAGGTGGCAGGGCTTCGGTCCCTGCCTCGAGGAGCAAGGTTGCACGGACACATGACACGAGACGCGGAGACGAGGACATGGAGGGTGCATGTGTGCAGCCGGTGCCAGCACTGGGCGAGTTTGAGTGATGCTCAGACTTCAAATCCAGCCTGTCCCTTGAGGGGACACTCAGGGCGTCCTGAGGACTTCGGGGCCTGGCGTCCTGGTGATTGGCAGCGGGGTTCTCAGAGCCAGGGCCCAGGCGGAGCAGCCTCTGCTCTCTCCATGGAACCCCCCGTGTGCTGGGCCTCCCTGTGGGGCCGGAGAGCCTCCATGCCTACGGGGCTCTCCCCGAGGGGCCCCCTCTCCCGCGCCCTAATCTCACAGCCACCAGCGTGGTCCTTCTTGATGCCTTGACATGCAGACAGATGTACATGCACACACATGTCAGAAGAGACATGTGCCGAGGACCACCCCGAGACGCACGAAGCCACACGTGTACACAAAACAAGCACATCTACACGCACAGGAGACGAGTAGCCGCCAGGCTGCCTCCGGGGATCCCCGCAGCCCCACGCCCCACCGCCCAGGCCCCGGCCTTCCGCACGCTCTCACCTGCCTCACGTGTGCCAGGCCCTTTGCTGTGTCCTGGGACGGTGCACTTGGCAAAGCTGTCGCTGCAGTTCTTGCTGAAAATGCTCTGGTTTGTTTTAAGGAGGTTCTTCGTTTCGTTAAAGACGTTCTTGATCTTCTCTAGCGCCCAGAGGGGTGACTCCGAGAAGTTTCGGACACAGGCCTGGAGGGAGAGCAGGTCCCCAGGGTGAGGCTCAGCACAGGCCCAGCGTCTCTAGCTTGTCTGTCTAACTTCTGTGGCCCTTCTTACATCCGCCTCCTTTTCCTGGTTCATGTTCTCCCTCCCCTCTCCCCTCGTTTGCAGCAGAATCAGTCCGGAGGCCAGGAGCTCTCATTTAGTCACGGGTATATACCAGGTCTCATTTAGTCACCGATACGTGCCAGGCACATGGCCATCACCTGGGGATCATGCAGTGAATGAGCAAGGTGGCTGCTGGCCGAGTTGGACATTGAGTGCAGCAAGGCACAGGTACCCAAGCCATTGCAACAAGTGCGGCGAGTCCTCAACATGAGGGAGTTCTGAATGACCTAGCGTGTTTGACCACATGCCTAAGAACGGACTAAAAGATGAGCAAGAGGTAGCCAGGAGCCGAAACCAGTTTGGCTCAATGGATAGAGCATCGGCTTGGGGACTGAAAGGTTCTGGGTTCGATTCCAGTCAAGGGCATGTACCTTGGTTGTGGGCATATCCCCAGTAGGGGGTGTGCAAGAGGCAGCTGATCAATGACTCTCTCATCGATGTTTCTAACTATCTCTCTCCCTTCCTCTCTGTACAAAATCAATAAAATATATATTTTTTTTTAAAAAGAAGAAAAAAAGAGGTAGCCAGGAAAGCAAGCGGAGTTGGAGAGAACTGTCTGGACAGTGGGAGCAGACTGTGCAAAGGTCCTGAGGCAGGAGAGAGCCTGGACTGTTGAAAGACGAGGAGGAGGCTCAGAATGGCTACAGTACTACCACCCAGGAGGAGAGCGGGGAGAGATGCAGCTGAGAGGGGTCAGCCAGGACCGGTCCTGCAGGCCCTGGCTGGCCAGGTCCAGAACTGTTGACCTTATCGACAGAGCCGAGAGAGCCCGTCGGAGGGGTTATCAGGGAGGTGGGGGGGGGGGGGTGCGTGGTGTGGAGCACGGCCTGGAGCAGGCCATGGCGGCGGGTCCTTCTCTGGCGTTGGTGTGTCTTGGAAAGAGGTCCAAGGCTGCCCCAGCCCCATGTCTTGAGCTACTCTTTTCTGCTCGAGGGACACAGGCTCCCACACGCACTGGGGTGCTGGGACCCCCCCCCCCCCCACACACACACACGCCTGCCTTTGCTCCCGGCCTCGGCAGCTCCCTCTCTGTCTCCCGCACAGGCTCCGCTGCCTGACCTTTAACGCAGGCATTGCTCAGGGCTCCGTGGGGCCTGCTGGCCACACGCACCCGGCAGTGCCCTGACGCCGCTGGCATCATCTGTGGCCGACTCGCTGACGACTTCCAGACGCCCGCTCCCCTAACGGAGCGGCACGGGGTGGAGCTTGCCTAGGCTGCGAAGCTGTAAGCATGGCTGCGTGCCCAGGGCCCGGGCCCAGCAGGCCCCTCATCGCTGCGGACCAGACAGACGATGAAAGGCTGCAGGCATGAGAAGGCCTGGGCCTGAGCGAGGTGACTGGCCACATGGATGACCCAGTTTGGACCCATTTCCTCTGCCAGCCTCCCCCAGGCGCGGTAAAGAGCCGCCGGGCTCTCGGGAAGAGGAAACGGCCCCTCAGACAGAAGGACCCCGATGCCCCGTGACCACAGGCTGTGTCCTCTCTCCTCAGGAGCTCAAATCCCTCCCAGCGTCCCCACAGGAGACTAGCTCCCAGGGCTTCATCCCTCCCCGAGTCTGTCCCGTGGGCATTCACCGGGTGGCTGGCTTGTTGAAATACAAAATCCTGGCCTCACCCCCAGACCATGGATCAGACTCTCTGCAAGCATGACAGGCTCCAGGGCTGTGGCCCGCAAGCAGCGAGTCCGACATGCTCCCGACTAGGGGTGCCACGCTGGGAATCTGGGTTTTAAATACGCTCCCCAAGTGAGTCTTAAAAACCTTAATATTGGAAAACTGTAGGTTTAATACCTCTTTTATTAAAAAAAGGCTTCCTCCCTCAATCCCACACGCCCTCTGGCGACCTCTGTCTGCGTCTTCTGGAGCCGAGCTCCGCTCTGTTCACCCAGACCCGGCACCAGCCAGCGACACTGACCTCCACGTGGCCAAATTCCCCATTTGGCTGGGACGTGGGCCTCCTGCTGGTCTCCCAGCCTCCACACCTGCTCCCACGGCCCCCTCTCTGCACAGCAACCAGAAAGGTCTCAACGCCAGCTAGGTGCGCTCACCTGCCAGTTCACCACGCTGCCTGGCTCTTCAGGCCAAACCCCACACGGCCAGGACCACGGGGAACCCCTCCACCTCCCCTCTGCACCTCGGCCAAGCGGCACACCTCTGGGTCCACAACACGCACGCTCCCACTTATCCCCGGGCTCCCTCAGGGCATGCTGGGTCCTAAGATGCTCCGACCAGCCTGTGGCTTCCTAACGTACCCACCATTGGGTCTCCAAATACTACTTTCTTCCTCAGAAGCCTTCCCTGGCTCTCCCTCCCCACCCTCTTCAATGAGTCCTGTTTCTCCCTCTCAGAGGGGCTGCTTCACGCCTCCTCCCCCCTCACCCCTGCAGGTCTTCCCTCCCCTGCTTTTCCCTCCAGCCATGCAGCTCCTGCCCTCCCACGTGCCACGTGTGCGACCTGTCTCACCACCCCCAGATGTCAGCTCCGTGAACGTGGGGGTTTCTGCCCGTCTTTGGTGCCCTGGTGCCCAGAACAGTACGTGACGCACAGCAGGCGCTCGTCAGCTATGTGTGGGGTGAAGGAAGGGTCCCCTTGTGGCTTGTAACTCTGTTGTGCTCGTTCTAGTTCAATGGCTGCCAATCTCATTTGACTGCTCGCTCCCCGAGGTTTGGAACCAGGAAGCTCTTGTTCCCAGAGACACTATCGAGGCCTAGCGCTGCGCCTCCTGCACAGTCAGTCCTTAGCGAAGGTGTGTGCATGGAGCAATGAAGGAGAGAGAGGGAGAAGGAGAGGGAGAGGGAGAGGGACAGGGACAGGGACAGGGACAGGGACAGGGAGAGGCGGTGGAGTAGGTGAGGGAAGTGGTTGCTCAGAGGGTGTGGGAGGGCGGGGAGCAGCCCTGCCCTGACCCAGGCTCCGGCTCCAGGGCCTCCTACCGTGTCGTGCTCCTCGGAGACCTGGGGGAAGCAGTCCTTCAGCCTCACGGAGAGCTCCAGGAGCTTCACCAGGGCGATGGCGTTGGCAGTGTTGTCTTTGAAGCTGATGGTTTCCTGCATGATGTCTTGTGCCAAGGAAAAGGCTTTCTTAATGTAACACACGCGGTCTTCCTGGAAAAGGACAACCTGGAGTGGATGACCTGGCCCCGTGGTGGGCAAACCGTGGCTCTCGAGCCACATGCGGCCCTTGAGCCACATGCGGCCCTTTGGCCCCTTGAGGGTGGCTCTTCCACAAAATACCACGGCCTGGGCGAGTCTATGTTGAAGAAGTGGCGCTAGAAGAAGCTTAAGTTTAAAAAATTCAGCTCTCAAAAGGAATTTCCACCGCTGTCCTATTGATATTTGGCTCTGTTGGCTAATGAGTTTGCCGACCACGGGTCTGGCAGGTGCACCCACCCCAGCAGATGCGCCCACCCCAACCCCGACCCCAACCCCGGCTTTGATCCTGACTCCCGGGTTGGGAAGAGGCTGCTGCCCTTGCTGGCCTTTTGCTCTCTCTCTTTGGGATCTGGCACCCTGGGGGTTGGGGTGCAGGGAGGGAAATGTGGAATCTGATTAGAGAGAGCTTCACTTTCTGGACGGAGCATTCCTGGCGGCCAATGAATGAGACACAGAGGGTGTTCCCTGCACGGGGAGGTGGCCTCCTGAGCTGGCAGGGTATATGTGGGTCAGGTGTGGAGAGGCTCAGAGATGGGGACAACTTCTGGGCATTGCGGGGCCTCGGGATGGGGCACAGAGAGGAGCAGACTCGGGACTAGGACTGAGGTTGGGGCGCTGGCCAGGCGTCACAGGCTTGTGGGAAGGAAGGAACAAGGGATGGGGTAGTGGGGTGGGGCCTGGTGCTAATAAACCCCAGGCTAAGCAACCTAGGCTTTCTTCTGGATGAGGGGGCCCTGACGAGTTTGGGGGAGGGAAAAGGAAGTAGCAGGTTAGGGTCCCGAGAGCTCCCCTTAGTGGCGGGATGAGGGGTGCACTGGCAGCAGTGAGGGCTTTTGGGAAGGACTAGAAATTGTCAAAGCAACTGATGGGGAGGCCAACCCACCATCACTTGGTGTCTGGTTGGGGGCTGGGGCAGGAGGACGCGGGAAAGGGCTGGACCGGTCTCCTGGCTGCTGGTCTGTCAGCTACACAGAGGTGACTTCCATAAGCAAAGCCCATGCCAGAAGCACCTGCCTGCCCCAGAGTCAGCCTGCTCGGCGCAAATCAGACCTCCACCGCTTACTAGCTGTGCTCCCTCCATCTCTCTGGGGACCATCAACAAGACTTGTGGGCCACATCGCGGTTCCATCAAGACTAAATTAGAAAAGCGCCTGGCCCATGCCCGAACTGGTGTGGCTCAGCGGATAGAGCCTGCGGACTGGGTGGTTCCGGGTTTGATTCCGGTCAAGGGCATGTACCTTTGTTGCAGGCACATCCTCAGTAGGGGCGTGCCGGAGGCAGCTGATCCATGTTTCTCCTTAAGGTTTCTAACTCTCTCTCTCTCCTTTCTTCTCTGTAATTTAATACTAATATAATAATAATAAAATATTTTTTTACAAAAAGAAAAGAAAAGCACCTGGCCCACAGGAAGACGTGGGCAGGTGCCTGGCCAGGAAAAGGGAGCCCCTCACCCTGTCCAGCCCTGGACCCTGGCACCCCAGACTTGGGCACCCAGGGGTCCTCACACCTCATCCTGCCCAGCTCCGGCGTTTCTCCAGCCCTCATGCTCCCACTCTACCCGCCCTGAGGGGTGCATCCCCATCGGGGCCGTAACTCACCAGCTGATCCTCATTCACAAACTGAAAGGGGATTTTGCATCCCGTCTCCATCTGACTGTCGATCTGTAAGAGAGAGCAGCCGGTGGTGGCAGGGTGTCCGCAGCTCGGCTGAGCTCGCCCAACAGTGGGGACTAGAGTTTCTGGGTGGATTGGGGTTTGAGCCTCATCTACTTTCCCCAACCACACGTGGAGAGGAAATAGGGGCAGACCTTCTTATCCTTTGCCAGCCCTCCCTCGGGCCTCCCACATGCCCGAGGGAGGGCTGGCAAAGGATAAGAAGGCTCTTCCTTCGACTTCCCCCTCCATGACATCAGCTCCTGTGGGAGGTAGTGAGCTCCCTGTCACGGCAGGAATTCAAGCAGAGGCTAGACAAGTGCTGGGGATTCAGGATCTGTACGGGCTGGGGTTTAATGCCCCGAAAGCCCCTGTTGCGCCCCCCCCAACCCCCTCCCCAACCCCTCCCCCAGCAGTGGTTCTGTGAGTCTAAGCCTGGGTTTCCGTGGCAGCGACGTGGAGGAGGAAAAGAGGCAGGAGGCCCAGCCTGCAGGCCCCAAGCTCAGGGCCCGGGAGCTGGCCTTTACCAGCGGGGCCCCACCCTGCCTGGCTGGCCGGAGGAATGAGAAACGCTGTTCTGAGCAGAACAACAGCCATGACGGCAAACGGACTCTGCTTGGCCGAGCCATGCTGGGAACTGGTGATGCCTCTGCTGGCCCTGCCAGGAGGCACAAGCTCCTTCCTGGCCAGGTTGAGCCGGCCGTCCCAACCCTAGGGCTATGAGGGCGCAGGTCTGAGAGTGAGGCCGGAGCCTCCACTCCAAATCCGGGGAGGCCCTGGGGTCGGGCTGGTGTCCCAGTTGAGAGCTAGCGGCAACATCTGGGCACAGCAGGCAGACAGGGCTGGCTCCTCGGGAAAGCATCCCACTGAGGGAGGGACGGCAGGCTCCACAGGGAGAACCTGTGGTGGACATTCCAGGCAACCCTTTACCCAGGCAGCCGGCCGGGAGCCCACCGTGCCTGCAGGGGTCAGAGGCCCTGACCTCCAGAAGGTCAACGAGGGAGCATCTGGGGAGCCATGTCCCGCACAGCCGTTTCCCCGCCTGCCACCCGTCTCTTTGACCTCCTCCCTGGCTCCTGCCTCAGTTTCCCCCTGAGGAGACGGTGGAATAGGCTTGGCCACGCACACACACTCACCATTTGCTGCAGCAGCTGTAGGTGTCCGTCCCCGATCATGTGACTACAGTGTTTCGACTCCTCCTCGGTGATACTCCTGTTCACCAGGAGACAGACCAGCAGTAGCCGGGGGCCCAGCCATGTCTGTGACAGAGAGATCACCAGTTCTCCTCAGCTCTTACTCTCCCCACCGTCTCCCCATGGTCCCCCCTCACACCTACAAGGCTACAGGCGCTATGCCTCATCCCAGGACGCAGCCTTTCCCAAACCCAGCTCTCTGGGGATTGCCCAACAGCCTCGGCACAACCTTGCTCTCCCTCGATGACAAACAGAGTGTCATCTCCTCTTGGAAGCCTTCCCAGATTTACCCAGGCCAAGCCTGACTACACAGTGAACTGTAATGAGGACCTGGGAGGAATGCCTCCCAGCCTAAATTCCAGTTTCACAAGAAACCCCTTGAATACAGGACTCGCTTCTGCATTCCATTTTCCTGGTCTTGCAGCATCAAATGCTGAGCCAGGCATCGTATGAGCTGCCCATTCCTCTCAAGTTCATGTCCATGCACCGGCTTCCAGAACTGTGAGCCAGAAACAGATCCCTCGGGCCCAGCCCTTCCTCCCACCTGCTCCCACACAGGTCTGGCTCTGCTACTGGAAACAAACTTGGTTTCGCTGGGAACCTGTCCCGTGTTAGAGGCCTGAGGAGCCCTGGGCACCTGTGTGTCAAAATCAACAGCAGGCAGCGGCCATGCCAGCACCAGTCCGTCTATCCCGGCTGACACCTGCCCATCGGGCCGTACCACCACCAGCCAGCCAGCCAGCCAGCTCTTAGCACGGCCAGGATGTTTCCTGAGCTGTCTCCTCTCTTTCAACCCAGCAACTGCTCGCCCCCGAGGAAAGTCAGAGAACTGGTTCCTGACACCCTGTCATTCATTCCCCTTCTTTCCTCTCGCCCTCATCCTCACCCTTTAACCCTACCCTCCCCACCCCCCTGCCCAGGCCCTAAGTCTCCCTCAGATTCAGAGACTTGCTGCTAGGGTGGAGTGAGGGCTGGCACCTTCCTAGGCTCCGGGCTCTGCCTCAGTAACCCAGAGGATGAGACAAATGCTGCCAATAAACAGCGCCTGGAAAAACACAAGGCCCCAGTGACACGCTGATTTACATATAACTGAGAGCTCAATGTTCGCCAGCTCTAGCCTGGCCGGGCTACCAGGGCGGCTGCAGGGAGGAGGGGCCTCAGGGGCCTGGGAAGATGGGAGGCGGTGGCTGGCAGAGAGAAGGCACAGCATGGCTCCATCGGGGAGGGGGAGCAGGGGGAAGGATGCTCAGGAAGACATCCTTGTCCGGGCACTTCAAGACAGTGAGGTTTGAGGGGGGGAGAGGAGAGGCAATGCTGAGCCTCAGAACCGCCTGGCTTTCGGAGCTATGTCCAGGCATGGGTGTGCGGACAGTGCCGCCAACGGGGAGATGCCCTGCCCCTGGGGCCGATGTGGCCTCAGAGGATCTGAACGGGCACCCGAGGGTTAACAGTCTGGCTTGTATCTGGCTGGGCTGCCTCTTCTCCCGCCTCCTTTCTTCCTCCCACCCACCAGCCTGGCCTCTGGGGGCACCCGGGCAGGAATCTCTGCCGAGGGCTCAGAGGTGCGGTCCCTCCTCACCTGCCTCCCATCCTGTTCCACCTTCCCCGCCAACCAAGTCCCGCAGAAACCTTGGCATAAGCAGACCCTTGGGCTGCCCTGCTAACCCTACCCCCACCCCCAGCCCCAGCTGGGTGGCTCAGTGGGTTGGAGCATCATCCCCGAACAGCAAAATGCTGCAGGTTCAATACCCGGTCAGCTCACATACCTAGGCTGCGGGTTCCACCCCAGGTCAAGGTATACATATGAGAGGCAACTGATCAACGTTTCTCACTCACATCGATGTTTCTCAGTCTTTCTCCCTCTCCCTTCCTCTGCCTCTAAAATCAATAAAAACATACCCTCATGTGAGGATTAAAATACATAAATAAATAAATAAAATTAAAAAAATAAAACCAGCTCCCTTTGCTCACCTCCTCCGACTTCAGCCCCTGTCCCGGCCTGGCTGCGCCTCTCCTCGCCCTCCCAGCTGCCTTCTCAGCTGTCTCCTCTCTCAGTTGGACCCTTCCTCCCTGGAGATCTGCTCTGTCCTCCCTCACCCCACCTGCAGCCCCTTCCCCGACCCTGCAGCCCCTGCTCCGCTTCTCTTCTCCAGGCTTCCCCGCCCCTTCTCCTCCGGAGGCCGCTTGCTGTTCCTTCAATGCCCGCTTCGCTTCCAGGAGCTGTGGCAGCTGCTGCCTGGCCCATGCAGCCCCTTCCCCGGCTCCCTCCCCAGCACCAAACTCTACCGCCGCCTGCCGCCGCCGAGCCCAAGCTCTCCCGGACGAACTGCGCCCGAGTTTACAAGAAAAAGATCCACAGCCATCCTCCAGCAACTCTGGGTTCTGGTCCCCCGTCCCCCCACCCCCAAACAGACCGGAGCCTACCATCCTGGTGCCCGGCAGCTCCGTCTGGGAGCTGGAACAAGCAGCGGCTTGCCCGGCTCCTTCCGGTGCCAGCAGTTCCTGGGCACAAGCCCTGGCATCCTAAAGCCGGTTACCCCTGCACTCTCTCCAGCCAGAAGCGCCCGCTCCCCAGCAGGGCCTCCAGGCGTGTGCGGGGCGACCAGGAAGGTGCCCACAGGGGAAGGCGCCTCACGGGTCGCACCACGGCGCGGGGCCCTGGGCTGCTGGTCCGTCCGAAGGGAGAGGGGCGGGGGCCTCCGGCTGAGAAGGGACCCCTCTCTCCCGCTGCCCGGGTTCAGTGTGCCCCTCCGTGGGGCAAGGAGCCTTCCTTCCCTTTCCCGGGAAGCAGCGCAGCCCCAGGAGCCGCGCAGGGCCCCACGGGGCTCAGCAGGAGTGCCTGGGGCCGCGGGGCCGCTCGCGTGCAAAGATGGGAAGGCGACCGGAGCCTCTGCATCCGGGGCCCGGGAGCCTCTGCAGCCGGAGCCCCCGGAGCCCCTGCAGCCTGAGCCCTCCGAGCCTCTGCAGCCGGGGCCCCCCCGGAGTCCCCGGAGCCTCTGCAGCCGGGACCCGGGAGCCTCTGCAGCCGGGACCCCTGGAGCCCCCGGAGCCCCTGCAGTCGGAGCTCCCGGAGCCTCTGCAGCCTGAGCCCCCGGAGCCTCTGCAGCCTGAGCTCCCGGAGCCCCTGCAGCCGGAGTCCCCGGAGCCCCCGGAGCCCCTGCAGCCGGAGCCCCCGGAGCCCCTGCAGCCGGCGCACGCGGGCAGGGCAGCGGGTCCAGGGACCGCGGCCGCCGAGCTCCAGCCCCAGCCCGGCCCGCGCCCGCGCCGCTTACCGTGGGAGGGCAGCGCCCGGCGGCGCCGCGCGCGGTCATGCGGGCAGCTGGGTCCCGGCCCGGCGCCTCGGCCGCCCTCGCCTGCTCGCTCGCTGGCCGCCGCGCAGTCCGCGCCCGCCGAGGCCGCGCCGCTGTCCCGGGAGTGCGGAGAGCCGGCGGCGGCGCCGAGAGCACCAGGCGAACTTTCACTTTCCCGGCGGCTCCGCCGGCCAGCGCCTCGGCACGGCCTTTTAAGCGACTTAGGCATGTGGTTTATGGGAAATTACGTTGGACAGGCGCCAGGCACACACACACACACACACACACACACACACACACACACACGCAACACACACTCCAGAGGCCCACTGAGCCGCCTCCCCGCCCCCACCCGGGCTGGGCTTCCCCGCCCGTTTTCCAGTCGCCGCTTCTGCTGCTCAGCTCCGCGCCCTCCGCGCCATGCAACCCGCCACCGCCGCGCCGCCCGCCGGGGAGAGAGCTTTTCCTTCCTCCCGCGCTCTCGAGGCGGATCCGGTGAGCTCGCTCTCTTTCGAACATTCCTCTCAAGGGACTTTCCCCTTAGGCCTGAAAATTCCCACTTCGGAGCAGGACTGGGCTGAGAGCAGGGCAAACACTGAGGCGGGGCCTCCCGGGCGGGCGGTGCAGGACGCGGTACCTGGTGGAGCCTTGAGTCAGCAGGTTTGCAGGCAGCCCCCTACTTCCTAGGAGCCCCCAAGCAGCCCACCCCTCTTCTTGTCTCCGAGTTTTTGGGGGCCGGGGGCAGAGGCCAGCGGCTGGCTACCTAGCCAGGAGGGGCGGGGCTGCGTGTGGGACTGGGACCTGGGAGTTCTGCAGGGTGCCAGGAGGCACCCCTGCACTTGACCTGTGGGTGGTGTCAATACTGGCTGGCACCCTGCTGCTCCCTCCTGGCCGCCAAAACCCCGAGCCATTGGCACCCGGGCCCTAGATTGCCCTTGGTGTTTTTGGAAATGCTTTTACTGAGAAAATGAGCCACATTTTGTCTCTACACAGAATGACTGAAGGGAATCTAAGGAGATGAGCCTGAGGCAAAGGAGTTCTTCCTTGCTTCTTATGATTCAATGTTTCAATCCCACCGCGAGGGAACTATGTGATGGTGGCTGGTCCCCACGAGGCATCTCCAGCCTCAAGCAGGGACTTCACACCTGCAGGCCCCTGCGCAGGACTGGCCTCTCTGCTTGCACCGATCCCGCCTGTCTTTAAGGCAGACTCCCTCCTTTAGGCTGAAACCACACCACACCCTCCGCCAGCCAAGCCTCCGTCCACTCCCCTGGACAATCCATGGTCCTTTTTCTGAATTCCCACCGGACTTGGCTCCTGCCTCCCCGGCGGCTCTGATAAGCTGTCATTGGTTAATTGATTCATTCTCTACGTTAGTCTACAAAGCATTTAAAGTGGTACTGACAGCTGTGGTGTCTGCCCCCATTCTGGACTGAGTCCTCCTTCAGGCCGGTCCCATGTCCACGTATCTCCCCATCAGCAGTGACTGGCACACAGTGGGTACCCAGTGAAGAGCAACGGGGTGGAAAGAGGCCATCAGGGAGTCACTCGTTCATTGGGCAGGTATGCACCGTGCAATGGCTGCCTATGTGGCCGGCACTGTGCTAGTCGCAGGGATGTGGTGATGGACAGGCGACCGTGGTCCTTGCTTTCACGGGCCTGGGAGCAGGCAGAGCTAAGAGCCCTGAGGAAGGAGGCTGAGGGTTTACCCGCTGCAGCTGTGTTAGTCAGGTGCTTCCAGTCCAATAACCATGCGAGATAACGGGTCGATACCACAGTTCTTAGGACTGATAAGCCGTTACAGGAAGTACAATAACGTGTCAAGATAAACCTCTTGACTCGTTGGAAAGGAGTCAAATGTTACCTGCTTCCTCCTCCACCAACTCAACTCTGCCCCAGACTCAGCGAGGGCTGCGTCTGCAAGGCAGCCACCCTCCCTGATCCCCGAGGCCTGGGTCCCCATCCCCCCAGCGGGAATTCTTCACCTACCCCGGCCTGGACCCTGCCCCCACAAGCTGTCTGACCTGGAGCCCTCTGTCATTTGCTGTGTGGCTTTGGACAAACCTCTCTCAGCCTCAGTGTCTTCATCTGTGAAATGGGGACGTTAATTTATCTTTCTCACCAGTGTTTAGGAATGAGTGGGGCGATGCCTGAGGTGTTTAGCACAGACCCTGAAGTGCTATACTTCTTCTTTTCTAAAAAAAACAAAAACAAAACAAAACAAAAAAACAAAAACAAAAACTATTTTTATTGACTTCAGAGAGGAAGGGAGAAGGAGAGATAGACATTCCAGTGACGAGAATCATTGATGGCTGCCTCCTGCACGGCCCACGCTGGGGATGGAGCCCACAACCCAGACATGTTCCCTGACCAGGAATCGAACCGTGACCTCCTGGTGCATAGGCTGACACTCAACCCCTGAGCGACACCATCCAGGCTATTCTCCTCATTATTATTACCTGCCCACTCACAGGGGTCTTAAGCTGTGGCACGGCCTGGGGCCGTGGATTTGGGAGTCCCGGTGCCATGTGTAGTCCCAGCTCGGCCGCTCGTTTGCTGTACAACTTTGGACAAAGCCCTTCATCCTCCGGAGCCCTCCTTTCTCCATTTGTCCAAGGGCCATGACAAGCTTTTTCCGAGATGGTGGTGAGACACACAGCTGACAACGGGGGTGTCCAGGGCAACGAGCAGCACCGAGTGCTTGGTTGGGAAAGAAGCTGTGGCTGCCGGAGCTGCAGAGAGGAGACAGGGCCCTGGATAACTTGACTGCCAGCTGTCTCAGCTCTGGGGAACGTCCGGCCCGGGGGCCGTATCCCTTTGTCCTGCCCTGCCAAGGCAACCGCAGGCGGGACTCAAAATTCAACAAGTCTCGCCTTGGCCGGTTTGGCTCCGTGGATAGAGGGTCGGCCTGCGGACTCAAGGGTTCCGGGTTGGGGGGCATGTGCCTTGGTTGGGGGTGTGCAGGAGGCGGCTGATCAGTGTTTCTCTCTCATCGATGTTTCTGACTTTCTGTCCCTTTCCCTTCCTCTCTGTAAAAAAAAAAAAAAAAAAAAAAAATCAATAAAATATATTTTTTAAAAATTCAATAAATCTAGGCGCTTTTTTCACAGCAACATAATTTTGAAGTTAATCGTTTTGAATGGCCCAAGAATGATGTTATAAATATGCAAATGGCTCTTGGCAGCAAAAAGGTTCCCCACCCCAGCTGTAAAAAGGGAATTAGTGAATCTGCCTGACCTCAGACTAGCTCTACCACCAAACAAGGGCACACTGAGGCTGGCAGGGCTGGTGGCGAGCCCCTGGGCACCCCCGCACAGCATCTCCCACACAGAGCATGAGCAGGACTCCTGCCCCCTGCCCCAAGGCAGGCTGGGAGATCTGGGGCGGGCAGCTCCCAACCAGATCTCAGGGCCAAGCCAGTGGGATGGTGTCCCCTGCACGGGGCTCCTTAGCTGTTCTCACCCGCCCAAGCTTGTACGTGCCCATCCGTGGGCAGGCACTATGGGGACCCCAGAACGAGAGCTTTTGCACCCCATCTTGCTGGGATGAATGAAGGGAGGCCCAGACAGGTGCAGCCCCCTCTGTGGGAGTCACACGTGACTTGGCACGGTCTGGGTGGGGTGCCTCCCTGGAGGGATGAGCTGCTGTGCTGGGTGCTGACTACTGCTGCAGTCATGTCCGGAGCTGGTCCTGGGGGAGGCGCGGAGGAATCTGGAACAATCTGAGATTTGGGTTTCAGTGATTTCCTAATGTAGCGCCATCAGGGAGGGAGTGCTCAGCTGCCGCGGGAGGAGGGCAGAAGGGAGGACCGGAGGGCCCGCGTGTCAGAGGAATGAACCGAGGGCGGGAGGAGAGAGGTCCGAGAGAGAAATGGAGATGGATGGCAGGAAGTGGGAGGAAGCCTCCTTTGCTGGTTGTCGAAATGTCATTTCCTTGAAATTATTTGACAGGCCATTTCCCCTGAGAACTTTTACAGGGAGTTGAGTTCTGTCACAAAGGGCTTGTTTCTTTTCTATCCTTTCCTTCTCTTTTTTTTCTTTCCCTTTTCCCCCCTCCTTCTCTATTTCTTCCCATTTCTGCTCCCTTCCCTCCCTCCCTCGTTTTCTCTCTCTTCCATGAGAGTGGCCCGTGGCTCTTTGGGAAGGGGCTTTAGGAGTCTTGGCTGCAGGGACACGCGGCCGGCCTGTCCCGGGTTCGCGGCCGGGCACTGCAGAGAGGGCCAGGGTGCTCGGAACCCCTACATCCCCATCCCGCCCTGGGGAAGATGGCAAAGCAGCTTCTTTGTTCTTAAGTCTCACCTGGAAATATTTTCCCACTGATTTTTAGAGTCGAAGGGTGTGTGAGGGACACAGAGAGAAACATCGATGTGAGACACTGAGAGACACATCGATTGGTTGCCTCCTGCATGCACCCCAACTGGGGGCCAGGGATTGAGCCTGAAACCGAGGTATGTGCCCTTGATCAGAATCGAACCCAGGACCCTTCAGGCTGTGGGCTGACACTCTACCCATTGAGCCAAACTGGCGAGGGCTGGACTGGCTTTAATTACATGGAAAGGTAGCTCCCAGCAGCTGGCTTCCCAGGGCTGCCGTGGAGTCCTCGTTTGGAAAAGCACCAAGGAGATGTGAAGACACCTTCCCTCGACGGGGGAGCCGGCTGCCCCTCGCCCTGCCGCCGCCCAGAGACACCGGTCTGGCTTCCGGGCCCCTCGCTCTGCCACCGCCAGGCTGGGCACCGTCCCTGCCCGGGGTGGCTCTCAGAACCTCCTGGAGCTGGTCACTGACCTGAACCACCCAGAGGTCACTTTTGCACATGGACTTGGCTTTCCCGGGGCCTCCCTCAGCTGAGGGCCCTTCTGAACGAGTCTGTTCCCACCGCAAAGGAAAAAAGAGAACCGCCAAGAGAATGCTGTGCCGGGGGTGTCCACGGCCCACTTCCTGTCTGTGGCCTTGCGTGACTTCGGAACAAATGAGGCAGAGAATCACCTGGAAACCGGAAGGAAGGGCCTGTGCCACGGTCAT